GGAGCTGAACTTGTTGACTAGCAGTGGTGTCAAGGACCTGCTTCTGGATACTCCGAGCCTCCCGAAAGTCTGATTTTGCTTTGAGACTCTCAGCCTGAAGAAGCATGAGATCTTGGTCCATATCTCCACCAGCTAGGCCACAAAGATATAATTGGTTTCGTGCATGTTTGCTGATATCTGCAGCATATCGGTAGTTCCCCATGGAATGCCAGCAAGTGGCTTGAATACGCAATGCTCCTGCTTCTCTGAGCAAATCTGTACAACTCCTGGCCAATTTCTGTGATTCACATGCAAGTCTCTGGGCATTCATAAAATCCCCATTGTGCCATTTGAGATTTGCAAGGCCTGTTAATGCTTCACACTGCCTGTCCAGACTTCCACTGGAAATAGCGAAGGAGATTGCTGTACAATGATGCTCAATGGCAACTGGAATGTTGTTGTTATAGAACCAATGATACTGTCCTAGAACACTGTAGAATGTACCTAGTCAGAGGTCAATATCAGACTTTTCAGATATCAATCTGAAACCTACTTTTGAGTTTTGAATTGCTCAGGTAAGGTTCATGTTCCAAGGCTAGATCAATTAGTTTTTCAAAATCTGCAATGGGATGCTTTCTCCATTTCCTGAGGAGTGCAGTGATGAAAAAAAACTCCAGTTCACGATTTGGAGGCTGCGGTAAAACCATCCAAATTCTGTCCATTAATGAAACAGGTCCGTATCCAGTGCTAATGCTGCATGTATCAAGTCGGGCTGTAGCATGGATGACACTGTCTATGTCCACATTGTCCCGATGTAAAGCATGTTTGAGCAGATTCTGGATGTTTGCAAAATTGGGTATTATTCGAGCAACTACTGCAGAAGCTGATGGAGTCCCATCATATCTGGCTTCAAATTGCAGCAGCTCCTGAAAGTAATTGAGAAGAGATTGAACAAGGCTGGGTGGGGGAGGATGGAATTTTTGCATGTATTCACGAATTGGTACCAATGCTCCAAATCTTCTCTTGTTGTTGACATATGCCAGAGATGTGCTTGCCAGAACAGTTCTACAAGCAAAAATATCATCAATAGGTAGATTGCTTTGTAGAAGTTCCACATCTGAAAGACCATCTGGCAGCATTGAAAGCAAACTTAATAATTGCAGTGATTGTGGCAGGCTTTTCATTCGAGGACTTGTCAAAGATAATGAAATTGACAAATCCAAATTAGATCTTTTGTCGTAACCATCCGAAATGAGGGAGGTTTTCTCCTTGTCCCATCTGTAAAGAACCTAAGATAAGCCCTCCGAGTCGACCAGATGGCTCATCAGGTCCACAGCCAACGGTATGTTGTCAGTGAGTAATAGGACTTTGTCAATGTCCGTGATATCAGAACCCTCATCTGTGATATCAATGAAAGTTTTTCGAGCTGCATCCTGTGTCAAGGGCTGTAAAGGTCCCAGAAAAGGTCTAGTCCAGCGCACTTTAGATGGTTGTTCTGCACCTCGCATTGTGACCTACTAAAGGATTGGTTACCAGCATTTATTGAAATTATAGACTTACCATTAGTGCCAAGTGTTGTAGATCAGTAAGGCAGGACAGAAGCTCTTCAACATCCTTTCGGGTTTGCATTGGCTCCCATACTGTCTCAAGATTATCCAGAATCAAGAGAGAAGGTGGTTGACTTTAAAGATATTGGACAACTGAATAGATGGGGTCCTTTCCAAGTTTAAGTCCCAAGTGAGCCCCAATAAGGACAACAAGTTCAGTCTGAGTTGACACAGAATCACAACCAACAAAAAAACGGTGTTGCTTGTATTTTTTTGTGACTTCAGATTGATGCAAAATAGCTCTAGCCAGAGATGTTTTTCCCATCCCACCGAGGCCTAGAATGGCTATCCTGGTCGATTCCTGTCTAAAGAGCTGAAGGATATGTGCAATTTTTGCTTCCCGGCCATGAAATATTTTTGGCTCAGAAGGTAGCATAGAAATAGAAGTTGAGCTGTAAATCATATGTTAAGGTAAGACACCGATAATAACATGAAACAGAGTCATGCCTGTTGTAAAAGCTGGAAAAGACCTCATTCTTCTGTCCAACAAATATCTGTGAGTACATATTCCGAAGATAGAGAGATAACATACAGATGATCCATCTGTAGTGCCGTCAGACAAAGCTTCGATCAAGGTGAGAACCTCTTGGTGCCTGTCTTCTGCATGCTTCTGAAAATCTGCGACATCCTTGAGGGCATTCGTTTCATAATTCTGGTGGTTTTCTCTTCATGAGAAATTGGAATGGAATAAGCAGAGCAAATTATTATTACCTTGAATGCATCAAGTGCATTTTGCAAGCCTGCATTACAATCTTTCAACAGTTTGCTCATTTCCGGTTGGCGAAAAAAATGTTTGATCTTGCTTTTATCCTGTTGAGCCTCGACAAAATTATGGATCTTGTGCAATGTTCTGGAAAGAAGCTCAAACAATTGGGCAACAAGAAATTCATGATGCTGGATAATTACTCTGTAAACTTCCCCAGATGATTCAACATGATTGGTGATAAGTCACTACCAGTCTCTGACCTGGTATGCAAGGAGATGATAGCATCAAGCAAGATGTAGGTTCGCTCTATCAGGAGAGCACACTCCTTCTTGTTTCGTTGAACATTCTGGTGCCGAATAAAACAAAATCTCCTGTAATATCTGGAGAATTACTTACCTCGACAAGAATGAGCAGAGAACAGACAGTGTTTGATATAGGTTCCATGAATGGGGTCTTGAGGGTATGAGCCAGCATTCCCATTGTATTCACTGCTGTTGTAAAGAATGGGATGATAGTGTTCATCTGAATTTGAGTCATTGTAGTGTTGGGTGGGTTGGTATTCTGTTTTGGTGGGTAGCATGAAATAGCTCTGTTCTTTTATGTCGCAAATCACATACATTCAGGATTCATTGCCCTCGTGTCGTTGAAACTTGAAAGATGATCCGGCAATACATTCAAATAAGTGCTGACTCTTACCCACATTCTTTCCTATTCTTTCTTGATTCTTTCACCATCTTTCTTTGTCTGCCCATCACAGATGTGAAACCTGTCGAAATCAATGATGACACAATATGACTCTGCTGGGGTATGCTACTCCTCTGATAGTAGCTAGGAGCGCAGGCAGATGGCGGTTGCAAGCAAGAACTAAGATGTTGACTAAGCTACTGTTCAGTGTCAAGTTGGTGTCAAGCCCAACCAAACTTGCACCAAACACCCGGCCAGATCCTACTATGTACCACACTGCCAACTACTTGTTACTTAGTAAGTAGACAACACTACCGTACGCAGGAAAGACGAAAGACTAAATTAGAAAACATCTGCTGATCATCCCGATCACTGCAACTAGGTAACTGGATCGGGTCAACCAAAAGCAAAACCGTCAAAGGCAACCAGAGCTCTTTCTCGTCGTGAAACATGGGGCATGAATATTGGGCAGGTCAACCATCACAATTGTGAGTTCAAGGCTTCAAGCACTGGTTTGATGGATTTAAATTCCAATCATCAAACATGCCCGGTACAAGTAGCGGGGCTGAAACAAGCCTATCGAAATTTTTAAATTTTCATTCACCTGTCAACGGCCATTTTTTGACAGGCTGTCATCCAACGAAACTTTGCTTGATTCGGGATTTGGTCTCAAAACAAGAGCTGAGACCCAAGAGCCGTCAGTTGAGATCATGCAAGGCTGGACCATGGTCCGTCAAGGCTGTCAGATTCCGGAAGATGGGTAAGTATGGGTTACTAACATCGGGAGGAGAGCTCAGAGATGTCGGTTCAGTTGGGTAAATAGGGCACGACTCCTGCGATGTTGGCCAGAAGAGGTAGCGAATACTAGAATGGTTAACAAGATCTGGCACTCGTTGGTGAGGCCACTGTGTCACCATAGAGCCTAGGATAAGAAGCAGGATCAAAAGAAAATATATATATTTGAGGTCAAACCTGCGTGGAAATGATGGGGAGCACAGCGTACTGAAAGTGTGCCCACTGCCAAAATTCTGGTGAGTCCAGGATGACATGAACAAATCTAAAAAGTATATTTTTCGTACACGACCGAGGCTTGGCAACCTCAGACTGAGGCATGGGGGTGTCAGTGTTCAATCAATTTTCAACCGGAGACTGTGATACAATGATGGTCTGAAGTAGCGATGGGTTGTTCCTGGCCTTCGTGAGAGATTTCCTCAGATATGAACTTGGGCAGTTGAGTAGGGCTACTGTAGGGCATGAAAATTGGACTGGTCAACTATCTGAGCAATTTTGAATTTAACAAGCACTGGTTTGATGTGTTCACCAATTTTGAACCACATCTGGCACTCAAAATCAGTAGTTTGGTCTTCCAAATGATAAACAAAAACCGTCAGAGAGGAATTGATGGAGGGGGGGTTCGATATGTGACAAGGGGGCGGCATGGTTCAGCCTTGTCAGGTACTGGATTTATTCCCTTTCACTCAGCTGGAGGAACTGCGGAATGATTCCAAAGTCCAACTAGATGTGTTCATTTCACAGGATTTGGAGGCCAGATTCACGTGGAAACTCCCGAATTTACTGTCGATGTTACTGTGCCATCGGTTCAATATATAGTGCTGCTAAGATTGCGACAGCAATAGATAATGTAAGTGGCGCTGGCAGTGTCCTCGTAGGTTTAAAAAGTTTCACTGAATTCAAGAATTTGAATTTATCAAGGCAATGGACCTCAGTGTCACCGTGGCTTGAACACGATACCTGACACTGAGCCTCGTGTTCGATCCATGGAGATGGGAAGCCCCTTTCGAACTTGATGCTTCATTTCCCCACCTTTCTTCTGAAGAGGATGTAGGAAGGGAAAGGATGGGAAAGAGAGGGTTTTTGGTACATCATACAAGGAAAAGTTCAGCACCGTGGCTTGAACACGGGACCACAAGCTGTGCATTTTCAACCTTTTAATGAAGAAAGAGAAAGGATGGAGGTTGGGGATTGAAGTCGAGAAACGAACTGTCCAAAAAAAGGCAAAAGAATGGCATCACGGTGGCTCGAACACCGGACCTTCAGATTATTGATGTGCTTCATTTTCAACTTCAGTCTGCTGCTCTCCCAACTGAGCTATGACGCCGATGAAAAAGCGGCATGCCAACAACATAGGTGGGTACGGAAGTGATCATTGAAAGCTACCAAATGCATGCTACTTGGTAGATTCTCCCTCCCCAACTCCGAGTCCACTCGCTAAATCCCATCGTGCAAGCTCCGCTCTACCCCACACACCGCATCGGATCACACATCTCGCACTGCAAACAAAACAACTTTCATGTAAAAAAATAAATACAGCAAGGAGGCGTATGGCGTGTAGCAAATGTAATAGGTAGAGTAGGGTACGTATGGTATGCAAAAGTAGGCCTTTTTCGTCTGTTCGTTGTTCTTTCGTCCTTCGTTGGTAAGTACTTTCATACGTCTCCTTCGTCGTCTTCATCCAATCGCCCTTCCTCCCTTCATCCTAAGTTCTCCGCCCGCCCGCCAACGCACACCCCTCAAACATGCATCCCCGCAAACTGCCCACTCAGCCCCGCCGGCGCCCCAGGCTGCGGACTCCCCGGCCCGCGCGCCTTCTTCGGCAACACCCACGACGGCGTCCCAGCCGTCTCCGCAACCGGGCTCCCCCCTGCACCTCCATACGCCCCCGTAGCGACAACAGGGCTACTCGGCGCCGCCGCCCCCGCGCTCCCCGACCCCGGGTCCGTCAGCGAGTACCCCTGCCTCTGCGGCTGACTCGCACCCGCGCCTGGATCCTGCAGCGCATAGCCCTGGTACTGCTGGGCTGGCTGCCCCCCAAGCGCATGCGCGAGCTCGCTCGGGCTCTGACTCTGACTCGGCTGCTGCTGGTGTTGCTGCTGTTGACCCTGATTCGCATATGGGTCGGGAAGTGGCTGGTTCGCATACGGATCAGGCAACGCGCCTTCGGGCTGGTTCGCATAAGGGTCGGGGAAGTACCCCGGGTCGTCCATCGCGCTCGTCGGGCTGCGGGTCTCTTCCTGCTGTGGTTGCTGCTGCTGCTGCTGTTGATGAACGGGCTGCTGTTGTTGCTGAGCTTGTTGCTGTTGTTGAACGGGTTGCTGCTGCTGTTGAGGCTGCGCGGCTTGCGCAGGCGCCGGCGCCGGCGCAGCGTCCGTAATCCCCGGAATGCTCACAAAGTACACGCTCCCCGCCAGATCCTTCCCGCCCGCAGCATAGTACTGCGCCCACGCCTGCACGTTCGGGTCCGCGTACGTCGTGTTCGGGTCGTAGACGTACGGCGGGCCCGCCTGCGCGGCTGGTGCTTGCGATTGCGCTTGCTGGGGCTGCGGCTCGGGCTGGGTTTGCGCAGTGGCCTGCTGTTGGGGTTGGGGCTGCACCTGCGCGACTGCTTGTTGCGGCTGAGGTTGCGCTTGCTGCTGGACGGGCTGCGCCTGCTGCTGGACGGGCTGTGCCTGCTGAACGGGTTGCGCCTGCTGAGGCTGCTGCTGCTGCGCGGGATACGGCGTCGGCCCCTGCTGCTGTGGCGTCCCAACCTGCTGAGCCGGATATGGTGTCGGACCCTGTTGCTGTGGCGTCCCCACCTGCTGAGCCGGATACGGGGTCGGTCCCTGCTGCGCGGGCTGAGGCTGCTGCTGCCCCTGCGCCGGATACGGCGTCGGCCCCTGCGGCCCATACGCCCCGTACCCCTGCTGAGCCTGTTGTTGCGCCTGCTGAGCCTGTTGCTGCGCATACTGATACGCCGCCACCGCCGCCGGGTCGTTCGTTCCGTACCCCGGTCCAGGACCAGCCCCCGGCGTGGACGTCGGAAAGTACGCGTTCGCGTTCTGCGGGGTGGGCCCGTACGGCTGCTGCTGCTGCTGCTGCGCGTAGTACGCGCCGCCCGAGTGTCGCGCGAGGCTCTCCTCCATCATGCGGTCGAAGATCGTGCGCGCGCGAACAAAGGTCTCGTTCATCGATACGAGGTCCGCTGGGGTGGGTGTTAGTGATTGTGACGAAGGGGGATGAGAGGTAGGGAGGCGGCGTACCCCGCTTCTGGCTGTACTTGTCAATGAGCTTGACGATCTTGGGCCGTAGGGCCATGCTCGAGCGGTAGAGTTCCTGGAGAGATAACGAGTCAGTATCGGTGACATCGGAATCGGAGCAGGGACGGGGCGGGCAATTGCGTTAGCGGTAGGTGTGTACCACATCGCAGTGCGAAGCACCATCATCCACTTCCACGAGCCCATAGCATCCAACGACGCGGACACGGTCGTCGAGATGCACACCACACCCACGCGTCCCCCGTCTCTCAATAACAACGAACTTTAAACCCACCTGAATCTCCTCATCATCCGCCAAATTATCGCCCTTGCTCGGATCGAGCGCCCGCAGCATGTTAAGCAGGCGCTCGACGTTGACCGCCTGCGCGAAGACCGCCGCCTCCTGCGCCGCTTCCGCCGCGAGCTCGGCAGGCGTGGGCTCGGGGAGGGGTTCCTGGAGGGAAGGGAGTTAGTGAGTTGTTCGGGGTGGAGGGAGGTGGGGAGGGGTGGGTGAAATAGGCGGTAGGAAAGTAGGGAGAGTCCGCGTTGGGGAGTGCGTATAGCGCGGTGTGTGATAAGTGCGGTGGGCGTCATGGGCGGACGAGGCTGGCGCGTCTCAGAAAAGGAGCGCCTCCCACTCCGCACCGCACCCTCTACCCTCTTCCCCCCATTTCCACCACATCCCCTGGTCCAACGAGCGAAAGAGACACGCACCACATAATTAACCGGAAAGATTCCCGTCCGCCCGCGCAGCTGGCCCCGCCACCAGTCGCGGTAGCCGCGGTCAACGACCTGTGGGATGCGTTAGCGTTAGCGTGTGTTCTACTCAAAGATGAATGGAAGGAAGAGAGAAGGGAGGAGGAAGGAGAGGGAGGAAGGAGGGAGGGAAGGAGAAGCAGAGCTTCGTCACGAGTAAACGCCCAAAAAGAAAGAAAGAGTGCATCGTCCCTCGTATCCTGAAGCTTGTACGAAAGGATTCGAAGAAGGTAAGGTACGCAATAATGTGTGTATGGCGGAGCAAGTCGGGCGGGAGGAGAGAAGGAAGGAAGGAGGGAGGGGGAGGAGGGGGAGGAGGAGGGAAATAAAGGCGACGTATGTGGTTCGTAAAAAAGTAAAAGCTTTAGCGCCGCGGAGAGCGTCTCCCTTCTCCCACACACCTCCCCTCCCCTCCCCTCCACCCAGTAAACCGGAAACACACAAACCCACCTTGATAACATCCCCCTTCTCGAACCCTAGCTCGCCCGCCTCGGTCGGCGTGAACGGGTGCAGCGCGCGCACGCGCGTCACGATCGCGCCGTCTGCGATCGGCCCGCCGGTGCCGGCGGTGGTGGTGGCGTTGGCGTTGGGGGTGGTGTCTGCGTTTTAGTGTGAGCGTGTCGTTTGGTATACAATAGAGGTAATTCATAGAAGAGGGGAGAGGGGGAAGGGGGAGGGAGGAGGAAAGGAGGGCGGAAGGGAAAACGCGTCGTCCTTCGGGTAAGTAGAGCAAAAGGGAAAGCAAGCACGCGAGCCGTATCCGCCCACCCACACCTCCCCCCAATTCGCCTGCGGCGCCGTAATCGCCACTGAGATGTCGCTCAAGCGTAGCGAAAAACCGAAAAAAGCGAGAAATCGAAAGGTAGCGAAAGCGAAAAAAGTGATGGGAAAGCGTGAAAATGTAGCGAAAAAGCGTAGCGAAAAAGGCGAAAAGGGGCTATTGCAAGATTTAAGAGAGAGAAACAGATACGCACCAGCCTGAACAGGACTCAGCGTCCTCTCCCTCTGCTGCTCCCTCTGCGCAGGGACGTATCCGCCCGCGTACGCCGCCCCACTTCCTCCTCCCCCACCCCCACCACCGCTTCCACCCGCCGCACTACCTCCTGCTGCGGCACTGCTACTCCCCGCTCCATACGCCGGCGCCGCAGAGGAGCTCGATCCGCCATATGAGGGTGTGGCGGTCGACGCGCCAGCAGCGGAGGAGGAAGAGGTATTGCCGAAAGTGGAGGAGGAGGAAGACTCCCCCCACGGCTGCCGCCCGCCCCGATCCCTCACGCTCATCTCCAGCACCCTTTGGAGTTCTTCCTCTTCGCGCCGGCGCACGGCGTCGTCGACGGCGGGCGGGGGCGGGGTGTCGGGTTGGGTGTATTTGTAGTCTGTGAGAAGGAGAGGAGGGGTAAGTGAGTGTGTGCACGTGGAAGAGGAAAAATAGTAAGTTGAGGGAAGGGAAGGAGAGGGAAATTAAGGATAAAGAGAGGGGGAGGGTAAAAGTATAAGTTTGAGCGGGAGGGTAAAGGAATCAGTATGGAATGCATGGATGAACGCGTGGGATGGGAGGAGGGAGGAGGAACGGATGAAAGACGGGACCAAAACGCAGACATCGACGAGGAGTGAAGGTGGAGAGAGGGAGAAAGGACACAAAACGAGGCAGCATGAAAGCTCGCCGCGAGACTCGACGCTGTACCCCGGGGTGAAACCACTCCTCTTCTTCTTGGAAAAAAATCCACGCGCAAATCTCTTCCCCGAAAACTCCGTCCTCCTCATCCCCCCCCCCCAAAAAAAAAACTCTCCTCGTATATTTTTTGAAAAAAACGTCGAAACACTTACTCTTCGCCTTCAACCCCTCGTAGCACTCGCCCATCACGCCGAGCGTGCTGTCTGACGCGAATTCCGCGGTCCACATCGCGACGAGCCCGAGGGCGCGCGTGCGCACGCGTTCGTGGGTGTTCTGTGTGCGTTTAGGTCAGCATATGCGTTTTTTCATGGAGCGTTTTTATAGTAGAGGACGAAGGGGTGGGAAGAGATATCCGAATACGAATATTGAGGGTTTTGTAAAAAGGGAGTGAGAAGTGTGCCCATTGGGCGGGCGCATTGCAAGTGAGAAGCGTCGACGCTGTAAATCCATCCCATCTGCGCCGGTCCACAACCGGATCGCACCGCGCAGTCGCAATCGTCGAGGCGCGCACCGCATCCCGATACCGCGCAGATCCTCGATGCAATGCTCGATACTGCCTGAGTCCCGACTGCGCGCATCCTCAATCCACTGATCAAGACCGCAGTCGCAGTCGCAGTCGCAGTCGTCGATACTGCCTCCCCGATACTGCGCAGATCCTCGCATCGCAGTCGCAGTCGCACCTCGAGATGGGCGGGTGGGCCCGCAAGTCGAGTAGCATGATGCGGGGGATGACCAAATCCCGCATCCCGCCCCACGTAGTCCGGAGGCTGGCTAATCATAGCCCATCGCAATCGCAGCCGTGAGCGCGATACCCCGTCCGCCGTCCAGAAAGTGCGGCAACTATCGCCGCAAGCAAGCGACCCGCCACGCCGCCACGCTTCCGCCTTCCAGTGAATGGTCCGCAGCATCCGCCTCCAAGCGAGACTGATCCGCCACGAGTCCGCAAGCGAGGTCCAGACGGCGCCAAGCTGGGGGTGACAGGCAGGACGTGCGGAGTCGTGGATGCGCCACAAGCAGCGTAGACGTCCCAGGAACCGGGCAAATAGCTCCAGTCGAATAATCCTCCCCGCCTCGGAATTCTCTCTCCCCTCAAATGATATGAGAACCAGACAACGCACAACCCACTCACCCGATCCGTAATAACCCGCTCCAGCCCCTGCGTCCACGCGCGGCTCGCGAGCTCCCTATGCAGCTCGATGCTGCAGTTCTTCGACAGCGCCTCCGCGAGGCTGAGCGCGTAGAGTTGCACGTTGGGGTTCCGGTGCGTGAGGCGCTTGAGGAGGGCGGCGACGACGGCGTGTGCGCCGGGGGGGCTTCGTGTGCGAAAGGAATAAGCAAAATGGGAGTCAGGATTCGGATTAGAGAGATGGATTGGAGACGGAGAAAGAGAGTAGCGTACGCACCCCTCGTCCTGCACTTTATCGCAGAGGTTGAGGATGAGCTCCCAGTTCTCGGAGGTGAGGGTTTCGTCGGTCGTTTTGGCTGTGAGATGTGATTATTAGCATTCAAGTCATAACTCCTGGAGTTAGTTATTGGGAGTGGGGTAGGAGGGCTCACCGACGATCTCGTCATAAGGGTTGGTGGATGCGCCGCCGAACATCGTGGGGGTTGTTTATGCCTTGTATTCGCTCCCTAGTACTCAATTGAATCCGATACTTGTATCCGATAATTCGTGGAAGCAGAGAGTAAGACGGTGAAGCTGCTCGCTGCGCTGGTGGCAGTGGTTTGTAGGCTGCTGTTTGCCGCCTCACACTGATCTAATCGTCTAATCCATCTCTTTGACTCCCTTTCTCACTTGTACGACTCGATACGATAGGATGGCAAAGGGTGCGTCTGCTCGATTATAAGTGTAGGTGGATGAGGATCTCATGAATCTCTGGACTACTTTGGACTACATACAATCTCTTTGGAACCTCTTTGACTCGATTATCCGACTGTCTCTCGATTCATCACACTGGATGGATGAACGCCTCGGCTTGCTCTACACTCTGCATACCATCACCTATCACTCTACACCGGCATACTATCAACCCATCTGACGGATAACCCATCGACGCAACAGTCCCGCGCAACTTCCGACTCCTCGAAGAGCTCGAGAAGGGCGAGAAGGGTATCGGCGACGGGTCCTGCTCCTACGGCCTCGAGGACTCGGACGACATCATGATGAGCAACTGGAATGGAACCGTTATCGGCCCGGGGCATGTGCGTTGCTCCTCCTCATGTTATTTTCACGCCTCCTCCTTGTATTCTCTTCATATTATATCTTTCGAATCCTCTTTCGCTTTCTTCTTTCTTTTTTTCTATTCGTACCCTTCTTATATCCCTCTCCTATTTAAGACTGAACGAGAGCGACTAACATCCCCCACAGACAGTCCACGAGAACCGGATCTACTCCCTCAAGATCACCTGCGGCGACGACTACCCCGACGCACCCCCGACTGTGCAGGTGTGTGCTTCGTGCCTCTCCCTCTCTTTCTTCTTCCCACTCACTCCTTTTCCTCCCCCCACCTCCCTCATACTCCTTCCTCCCCCCTTATACTCGCCTCACCTCCCGCTCTCCCCTTTCTACACCCCAAATCCTTCTTTCTCGACTAAATCGCGATGACGGTGTTATACGCCCTACCGCTCACTCCGACTTACACGGAAATAACAACGCACCCACACAGTTCCTCTCCCGCGTCAACCTCCCCTTCGTCTCCCCCAACGGCACCGTCGACCGCTCCCGCCTCCCCGTCCTCGCCGCCTGGAACCGCAACGCCTCGCTCGAGAGCGTCTTGGTCGAGATCCGGAAAGAAATGGCCTCCGCCTCGAACCGCAAGCTGCCGCAGCCTCCGGAGGGGAGCATGTTCTGAGTGCCTGTACGAGGTGTGCGTTCTGACCTGAGGTGCGTCTCTCCTGTTCTTTATTCCCTCTTCGTCCTCCCGTACATCGTATGCTTCCCCCGTGTCCCCCTCCCAGCCCTCATTTCCCGTCATCTCACTGCAAGAGATCTATCTAATCACCTTTTGCAGGCTTCACGCAGCGAGACGTAGCTGTAGGCGAAGAGGAAGTAGAACGAGTCCGATTTTCTGTGTGTTCCGATGCTGTGCTGTGCTGTATACTACCAAATAAATCCATTCTGATTCCCAAATCCCATCCATTCTTCATTTGAACCTCTTTTCCCTTTCAATCCGAGCCGCAAAATCCATTTCTTCAATATCTGTCTGTCCTCCATTTCTCCAATATCTGTTTGTCCCTAAGTAGAAGGATTCAGCGGAACGTGAATTGAATACGATTTGGACCTTGATAAGGGAAGAATTGCAAATTGCAAGCACGCACAGGGCGGCGCCTCAAACTGTAAGTGCCCGCCCAAAAACACAAAGACGAAATAAAGTAGAACAAATCCGACTTGAGCCGAGAAATGCTCGCTGCGCCGATACGGCAATTTCCGGCCGACGACACCGCCCCCTTACCGCTTTTGGCCAGAATGCCTGGATGCGAAAGTAGTCGTGTTATCGGTACCGCCAGAACCACTGAGAAAAATCGTGCCGAATGGTACGCCATAGAAGCAGAACATCAAAGAACCGAACGAGTTTGGAGCCATTCTTTGCAAAAATGGCATGTCAGCCACAGTGCTTACTGGTTTGTTCCTGTTTGCTGCCTAGCTTCACCCCCAGCCAAGTCACGTGTGCCAAATTGAGAATTGCTTCGCTGCGCTCGCAATAAGAAAAAATCTATAGCCACGTCGACATGCTCTCGGTGAGATTCGAACTCACGACATCCTCATATGTACATGTTTCTTATCCGCATGATTGCAACTGAATGAAGACGATCTAACCGCTGATCCACGAGGGCTTCAGTGGTTTGTGGTTTGCACTGGACAGTTGGGTTCAACCCTCAAATCAAATAAAAAAAATGAACGAAGAAAAAAACATATGGAATGTTCCATGCTTTGGTGAGACTCGAGCTCACGCTGTCTTCGTAATAAGATTATTCACCATACCAAATATGTAGAAAACGATCTAACCGGTACCGCTGATCCACGAGGGCAACAATCTGACTTCCAGTATGATACATGTTCCTCAAGCATTGGAAACTGAAGCAAATGTAAGTGTGAGAAAAAAAAAATGTGGACACTTTCATGCCCTCGGTGAGGTTCGAACTCACGACTTCTTCGGAAGAATCTATATTCCCAATCATAGATAGAAGAGGATCTAACCGCTGATCCACGAGGGCTGCAGTGGTTCGCGGTTTGCACAGGTCCACAGGATAGCTGGGTTTCTTCAAATCAAATTCAAAATGAACAAAGAACAAAGACATATGGAACCGCTGATCTACGAGGGCAACAATCTGAACTCCAGCATCATGCATGTTTTTCAAGCATTCAAAACTGAAGCAAAGTATGAGAAAAAAGACTGTGAAACATGTTTCATGCCCTCGGTGAGATTCGAACTCACGCTTTCTTCATAAGAATCTATATTCCCAATCATAGACAGAAGAGGATCTAACCGCTGATCCACGAGGGCTTCAGTGGTTCGCGGTTTGCACAGGATAGCTGGGTTCTTCGAATCAAATTTAAAAGGAACGAAAAAAAAGATATCTGGAGCATGTTTCATGCCCTTCGGTGAGACTCGACTCGGAGCTCACGCTGTCTTCATAATAAGATTATTCACAATACCAAATATGTAGAGAACGATCTAACCGCTGATCCATGAGGGCAACAGCAATTCCCAACATCATGCATGCTCCTCAAGCATACAAAACTGAAGCAAATGTAAGTATGAGAAAAAAAAAGATGTCTGGGACATGTTACATGCCCTCGGTGAGGTTCGAACTCACACTTTCTTCGTAAAATTCTGTACTCTCAGATCACAGATAGAAGAGGATCTAACCGCTGATCCACGAGGGCTTGAGTAGCTCGTGGCTTGAAGGACAGCGACAAGTACCAAATGCACCAAATGTGGGGCGGTGGAGCAAGATGATGTCACCTTTGCATATATATTTTGCAGGCCTGTGACTCCATGACTCTGCCTCTCTCTCTCTCCAACCACCACCTTCGTCCACTCGCCCGGCCCTCGCCAGTGCCCAAGCCCCCACTGGTCCTTCGCTTGCCATCCCTCGCCGGCGATTCACCTGCCCACCGCCGTGCACAATGAGTTGAGACCTCTTATACCGTATGTTGTATACCACCGTGCTCGCAGCTCCTTCTCACCTTCCTTGGTATAGCTTGAGGCTCGCGTTCATGGACCATCGGATGGGGCATGTTCCATGGTGTGTCCTCTTGTTTTTTGAACCTCACATGCATGTCTAACATTGCCAATCCCGTTATGTGCTGTCTAGTTTTGGTACACTGTGTTTCCCTTTATACTGACCTCTTCTAAACCTGTTCGCTTCGCGCACTATCCAACTGCACTGTGGTGCGCCTCCGCTTCCCCCCTTTCATTGAATTGCTGACCATTCCTTTGCAGCTCGCAGCTCGCAGCTATCTTTCCCTGTCGTATACCTGTACATTGTACACCGTATTAGATATTGAAATAAACTACTGTTCTGTCTCTCTATTTCATTCTCGATTTGTCCATTCTGACAGCCACTTTCATCAATCCTCATTTGAATTTGTGGACTGGATTGGATTCAAGTAGGCAACAAAGGAGAGGAAGAAAAAATATGTGTGGAATGTGTTCCATGCCTTTGGTAGTCAGATCCATGCCTTCTTCATAACAGACCATCCAGCTATGTGTATATCCTGCAGTAGGCTGCTAGTCTGTACTAAGTTACATGTCCCGAACAGTAGCTGCCAAAAACGTGATCGGGAAATGACCACACATGAAGGTTCAAACCTTCATTCATTATTCCATTAGAGTGCGTGCAGGCCCCTGGGGGCCCATGTGGCACTATGCGACATACATGGATGTAAGCTAGCTAGCAAGGATGGGAGGTACAGTAAAGCGGCTGCAGCAGGAGGGTGGAAACCAGAGATGTGCTATGAGGGAGGAAGGAGGTTTATGGCTGAGGCAGGATTATAGGTAGCTAGTGATAAAGGAAGTACGTGCTGTGTGATAATATTGTAGAGGAAAGAGAAGAGAAAAGAAGAAAAGGACGCATCAGAGCGTGTAACGAGGGAACCGGCCGGTCTCACACACGAAGCGGAGGATGGGCTTGGGGTCCGATTTAGCGGAGAGGAGGAGGCAGAGGGAAAGGCGGGCGGTCCCGAGGCGGAGAATGAGGTCAAGGTGTTGGCAGCGGTAGCGCGGGCATGACAGGAGGAAGTGAGCAACGGTTTCTGGATTTGGCAAAGCTCACAGTTCAGGGAAGGGCCAAGGTGGAACCTGAAGAGAAAGGCGTTGAGCCCGAAGTGAGTTGTGCGTAGTTGGGTGAGCACGCTGCACTGGGGGCGGCTCAGGTCGTCATAGAGGTGTGTGATCACGTTGGAGGGGGTGGGGTCATCGTAAAGGGCGAGACGGCGGTGCCACGGGGATACATGAAGGTGTGAACACGATCAGGGACCATGTTCAATTTTTTGCCACTTTGCTGGAGTCATTTTTTGCGCAGATACCTCCAGTGGCCAGGTATGGTCTATTCTGAGGGTATAGGAGGCAAACAGGATGTATTCCAGGTTCAAATTGGGTGATCGGGCTACACGTGCACACCGTGAAGTCACAAAGTGATCACATTTTCTTAGCTATGGTTCAACAGATGCAACTTCAATCAGACTTTATAAACCAAACTAAAAGAATTGACTTTCTTATTTTTGTTTTCAAGTCTAACCATTGATCTATAAGAGCATTATTACCCTGCACTTTGCACAGGAGAGCTAGGCTCCTTTGAATCAAATTTAAAAGGGTTACTATGTTAAGGCCCACATAGGAATTGAAGGAAATGAAAGAGCAAATGGACTCACTAAGAAGGGGAGGCTTAAAGACATGTCCCCATCATTGACATGCATATCCCTCTGGACACACTAGTACCAGATGTCAAACCCAAATCAATTACACAAATGTCAGCATACAGAATCATAAGAGGCCTGACTATTGACAAACCTAAATACCAGGCAGCGCTAGGCGAGCAACATAAAAAAACATTGGATGAATAGCACAAGAATAGTACAGGGGGTACAAGTGTGATGGGGGGAACAGAGCTAGCTTCAAGACAGACACAGTGTATATATGTGAGAAATGGTTCCATGGAAATGGGACAGAGAGGGGCAGAGCACAACACTGGCTGGGAGTCCTGGGAGGCATGACAGCCATATTTCAACATAAATAATGGTGATTCAAGGGTACTAGATAATACCACCTTAACTACCATCTTGTTCCACTTAATTTACAAGGGTTTACATTTCATCAAAAGAACAAAAGCAAAACAAAAAATTGATGATGTCCCAGAAAAGGAAAAATTAATATTAGCCCACCGCGAGGGTCGAACTCGCAGCCTTCAGATCGCCTTGCCCAGAGGACTCGTAAAAGTCTGACGCTCTATCCGATTGAGCTAGGCGGGCGTTTCTGTTTTCTTTCCTTTGACACTACGGTCAGATCATTCATCAAGGTTGTGCTCGGAATGAAAAGAGAATTACTGCTGTTTCAAAAGCAATAGGGGAATCCTGTTTTCAAGTAGAGTTCCATTAGCTTCGGCCAAGTTCGGCACAGCTCCACACTCATTTATTCTGGGACTCAACTCGGACTGACTGACAAAGGGCTATTCTCATGAAGAGACTCCACATCTAATAGTTATACTGAACTTAGACAAACTGAAGTCAAAAACAAGATTCTCTACCGTTTTTGGAACAGCTGTAAGATACATGAGGATGTTGTGGGTCTGATACCTTTCAGTAGTCTTTATTTTGCCACCTTGGTCAGGCCATCTCACAAAGGTTGTGCTCAGAATGAAAAGAGACTAATCAAGTTTAGGACTTGTATTACAGTCATCTGATATGCACGGTATGAATATATATATTTTTTGGAGTCTGTCCTTTGATACTATGGTCAGGCCATCCAACAAAGGTCATGCTCAGAATGAAAGAGAATACTCGAGTTTAGGACTTGTCATGCCTAATCGCTCATGACCCAGCGTCCGTTGACAAAAAGAACCTTGTGTAGCACCGCCAACTTGGAAATGGCCAGGTCCATTTGAACTTGTCGGGGTTCGGTTACAGGAACGTTGGTTCAGAGAATATTGATAACCTTTCTGTAGTCAGGAAAGAGCTTGTCCTTGATAGCCAGCGAGAGCACACAGAAGACAGAGAAGATTGCAAAGTGGGTGTCTGTTGTCTTTACTTTGCCACTATGGTCAGGCCATTCAACAAAGGTTGTGCTCAGAATGAAAAGAAGAATAATCGAGTGTAATACAGTAGTCTAATACACACGGTACAAATGTTATGTTCCCTGTTGACCTTGCTTTGACACTATGGTCGGGCATTCAACAAAGGCCGTGCTCAGAATGAAAAGAGATATAATGAGGCTATGCAGCAAAGGTTGTGCTCAGAATGAAAAGAGAATAAAGGTACATTAATACGTGGTGGTTCCTCTGACACCCCCGTTCAGCAAGATCTGCACAGAATGGAAAGAGAACAAAGTTCCAGTGGTTCTGGCCAGATGATTTCCTATTGCCTTGACAGATCATTTATCAAGGCTATACTCAAAATGAAAAGTGATCTCAGTTGTTTAGGTGTGGTGGTTCTAGTCAGATAATTTTGTTCCGCTTTTCATTTACTGAATGACATGAGAATTGAGGTGCTTTCAGAGAGTGAATGGATGTGTGGTGGCTGTTGTTGGTTAATTTACTGGTGTTATTCATGTAACACTATGGTCAGCAAACTTTGGGTAGAGGTGATGGTCAAATACTATTTTGTTTCAACTCATTCACCAAAGTCATTCTCAGAATAGAAACAGAGGATTTTCTGTGATAATTTTCTGGCATCATCTGGCCATTCAGCAAAGTCATGGTCAGAATGAAAAATAGAAGATAGAATCAAGACACAATCCCCCACTGGCACGGACATAACTAAAACTTTGTTCCTGCAGTCAGATTTGCAACAAGATGCTCCAATGTACTAGTAGTTGTGATACTTAGATGGCGGTGGCAACAGGAAGTCTATTATAAGAATTCAAATGGCTATTCACTACTGAGACTTTCCTCTATCTACCTATACTCACACCAGTTCTGATGGTAAGAACAGCTTGAGAAAGTAAGTACATCATTCAGAATCAGCCAGAGAACCCTTCAAGGGCAGATTTGCCCCCACCATCACGGTTGTGTAGTGTAGCGGTTATCACAGTAGATTCTGATTGGCTGAACATAATCTCAGATTTCTATTAACCCCGGTTCGATTCCGGGCACGACCTTTCTTTTGCTCTTTTTTGCCTGTCTTTTAGTGGACGTGCTCAGCACTAACACACTTCGACATGTGAGGCCTGTGAGGTACGAGCCTTTGTGTTGCTGAGAAAATCTTTCTGCAGGGGACAAATACCTATACTCAACGACAGATTGGTTGATTCAAATTTTCGCAGTAATTTTCTAGCTCTTTTGTCTTGCATGCGCCGCTGCTTGCCCTGCGTCCACGCTGGCAAAAGAGAGCGCATAAACATGGGACGAGGCTGCTGTCAAACCGTAGTCTGTATTAATTAAGTTGGAGAGCTTGGCAAAACACAAATTCACAGTTTGTGTCGGATACAGGTTCACAGTTTGTGTCGGATACAGGTTGCAGGATAGAACACCGAAAGACGGCAAGACAACATTGGGCTGCAGAAATAATTATGCAAGTTCGATGGTATTCAAGAATCCAGGATCAGTGCCTTCCCGCAGCAGACCAGGTAGGGTTATCCGTCTTCACCCCAGGCACACCACCATCCAACACGCCATCGAGTACAAGTTGCAGATTGGGGGACACAGGGGTCCTTCCCATGGACCACAGGGCCACAGCAACCGTGCTACATCGTTTGATGAGAGGGTAAATAGAAGAAAAATCAAGACAACGTACTTGACGCCCTGATAGTTCAATATTCCTTGGTGAACGGGGAACTTGGCTTGAGGTCTGCCAGCGCGTCGGCATCGGAAAAAAAATTGAGTCGTTCAGCTTACCCGAGGTTGGCAACCCGCTTCCCCATCATCCAGCCGTTTACGAATAGATAGAGACGATAGTTTTGCCCGAGCGGTTCCTCGAAGTTGAAGGACATGAAAGCATCGATACCTGTGGGAACGTTCAAGTTGAACGTTGTAACAAAAAATCCAACGCCGGCCGAGCCTCCGGGAAGTCCAGTGGCAAGATCTCTGGATATCCAAGACGAAGTGTCGAAACCAGGGAGGTGCCATCCCTTTCGTTCACCAAAAAGCCCTCCTTCATTGAAGACCCCGCGAGTTTTGTCGAGGAAACTGCAGAAAATCAACGATCAAGATCTCCTCTCCGAATACTTTTGACATACCCAGTGTATCCCCCAACTTTTCCTTGGACTTTCCAAGCACCAAACGATCCTGAATCAAGCTTGAACCCCCGGACTCCGCGAGGGCTCTTGGATGTATCGGGGGTCCCTGCATATGTGGAATATTTATGAACACCTAGGATAGCATATAGTTGATCAACGGACCGTTCGTCTCGTTCAAACCCATGTTGTCCTGAATATATGTGAGCTGCGCCTTTCTTGCGAGTAGCAAAAATTGAACTTGCCTGGACGATGGTAATGACGTTGTCGCCCGCCCGCACAGCACCAGCGGGGAATGTAAATTTATCGTCAGTCTCTTCGAAAATATGCCGGTTGTTCGTGGAACTACAATTGACGCTTCAGCCGAACCCAGTTATACATAGACTTGCGCATACTTTCCGAAGGACGTGTTTAAGAACACGTTATTGAGCCAGACACTCGCGGCAAATGCTACCGAGCATTGTCAGAAACTTGCTACTAAATCCACGCGTTCGCCCACCTTCTCCGCCGTTGATCGAGAGATTAACGCTCGTTTGCGCCCCGGTGGAATTGAAGTGCCCGCGCCAAAGAACGATGTTCTCGCAGCTGTAAGATAGAACGATGACGCGAATTAAATATTTTATCAGGTAAGCAAGTAAGGCACTCACAATCCATAATCACAGCCGTACAACACACGACCGTCTCCATAGTATGGTTTGAAAGGAATATTGGTCGTGGTATGGTTGGCAGTGATCCAAGCACTATCGTCGAAAGAAGGCCCGATCTCGGGCAGCGAGTCCATAAACTTCCACCCAGTTAATTTGGGCACCGCGACCGTTTTGGCTGCAGCACGGGGAGCGAGGGTTGCGGTAAACCCGCCGGTTGCAGTTACCCCGGAAGTCAACTTGACGCTAACGCCGTTCCATGTAACAGAGGTTACGGCGGGCGGGACGATCACCGTCAGAGGCACGGTAACGTTCAAATCTCCAACGAGAGCGAGCCGAGAGCCCGAGATGGTAGCGTTTCGGACGAGGTAGGGACCGCCAACCAGGACAGAGTTATTGCTGCCAATAGCCCAATAACTACCGAATGCCCCCGATCCCGCGATGACGGGCGACCAGAACGTCGCGGCGGTCACCGAGTCCGCAAACAGAACTAGTTGCGTGTTGGAATCCCACACCGTCTGAAGGCCCTTCACGCCCGCCTGGAACGCAACGATAGTCTGATTGGCGCTAGGCGTGAACGTGATGAGCGGCGATTGAGTTTGGTGCGCTTTATTGGATGTGCCAGTAAGCACGAGGCGTACTTCATGCGCTTGCGTGGAGTTGCCATAGAGGAAGAGAATATCCCGCCCGCCGATGGTACCGGCGTAGAATACCTGAGCGGTGGCATAGCCGACCTTCGAGGATCCAAAGGAATAATCGGAGACGACGAGCTTGGATTCCCGGCCGCCCAAGGTTATCGCAGGGACAACAATAGGCACCTGAACATTTCCGGACGTGGTGGTGATGTTCAGTTTGAAGGTCGTGATCGCCCTTATTATTAGTACAATCTCAGCTGCCATTCTCGACACGGTAGTAAAAAATGAACCCACGTCGAAGTTGAATTTGTCTGGCGGAGGACATAGAATGCGGTCTGTGTGTCCGGATTCTGCAGGAACGTGGCAAACACCGCAGGATTGGAGCTTGCTGCCAGGCCAGTTGATGAATCAGAGATGAAGTTGGTCTTGTAGAACTCCGGTGAGCTCCGTAGGAATACTCCCTGAAACTTCAACTCGTCGAATTTTGTGGTAAGAGCTCGAGACTCAGCGATCTACGCGATGTTGAGTGCCAATACCTGGGTGGCATGTTCAACTTACCGATGCACCGTAATCATACGAGGTGTAGACCTATCCGAGACACATCTGAGCTTCCAGGAGTAAATGGGGGAACAAACAACATACTCCGCTATCAAAAAAAAAAAGCATCCAGATCAACCCTCGAAAAAAGAGTGAAGAAAACGCACTGGAAAGGAATCGCGCCCCATGAAGTTCCACTGAAGCTCGATTAGCCTTAAACTGACTGATATAAATGAGCGTCGTACCCATAAATCATGTAATAGCTGATGAGCTTCGCATTACTCGCCCACAACTGTTTGTTGAAAACGGACTGGAAATTCGGTCCAGTCAGCTGCGCACACGGTGCGTATCCTGCCACGATCCTCAGCCAGTTTCTCGTCATTCACGTTTGCACCTACCCGGAGCGGTCGGCCCCCATGCGTCGAATGAACCACCTTGGAATTCTGATCGAAGCCGCGTTAGAATGTTCGCCAAAAAAAAACGAAGATAAGGGTACCAGGGATGTACCATGCTTGCGCAGGGCTAAGAAATTAGGTAGTGCCGGAGAGTAATCACAAAGGAAGAACGCACTTCGCTGACTCGTGATACGTGTGGTAATTGGTTGTGACAGGATTCCAGACGTCCGGATGAGAGCAATCGAATCCCTGGGGATACGAATCCAAGCTAGCCGCAATTTCATCAGTGCTCCAAGTTGAGACCTGCGTTATTTTATTCACTCACCCGTAGAGATCAACTGCGCCCTGAAAGACCGCCGGGTCTGACTCTTAATTTCAAGCGAGACAGAGACAGTCTGCTTACCGTGCCATTAATGAAATTCCGTCCTTGACCGGGATCGTTGTACGTCAAGGGAACGTCGATGGTCGAGTTGTGGTAGACGTCCTCAAGCTGGGCGAAATATTCCGCGTGTGTGATTGGGCTTTGCGAATACTCGTTGTCTGGTTCGCGTCAAATTCCATTCTAGAAACGATAATTGGACCACACACCGACTTGAATCGCTGCAAGGAATTGATTGTGTCAGAGAAAGGAAGTTACATCAAGCACACTCACCAATGACCGGCCCGCCGTTGTTGATCTGATTGGGAGCTGTTTCGCGGATGATCCCTAGGACATAGTCCTGCCATGCTGCGCGCCAGTCTGTTGCATTGGTTCGCAGCGTTCCGGCCACTTCAGTCGTTGCCCAATGCGAGATCCCCCCGGCTGTCGTCTCAGCATTGATGTACTTGAAGTCCCAACACTGTCAGAACTGCAAACGTGACAATGAACGGGAAACGTACCGGACCTAATCGAAGATGTCAGTCAGAATTATTTATTTAGCAAGATGACGCTGTCAACGCACCGGGACGCAGAACGATCCAAATCCCCGCAGCCTTTGCAGCATCGTACAGCGGCTGCAACGCCCTGTAGCTGTTGAAATCGACGACCCCGCGCGAAGGGTTGATGAGGCCCATATGCGTGTAGACGCTGACAGCGTTGAGTCCGGCCGCCTTGACCTTTTCGAGGATATCCGGCCACAGCGAGGGCACGGGCAGCCGGAAGGTGTGGAACTCTCCAGAACTGGTGCATACAAACTTTAATAACCGCATGCCGACGCAGAATGACCGGGGGCTTACTGTAAGAAAACGCGCTGTCCCATCAGGCTGAGACTGAAGTTGTCGAATTTCACCTCGTCTGTGCGGGCGATGTTGGGGAATGGCAGCGCAGCAGCGTCGCTCCGCGCGAGAATTGGCAAGCTGTTTGGATCGCCCGCCGGCCCAAAGGGCCAAGATGCGGAATGGACGCTACGGGGAAACGCCGCGAAGAGCGTGAGTGCTCCCAGCAGGCATCCAGGGATCCAAAATCGAGTCTTTTCGAGTAAAATCATTGAGTTGAGCACCGTGCGTTGGTGTTCGGGGAAGGAGAACGAAAGCACGCCTTCCCATTTATAAAGGCCATCCTTACCGCATACTTGACGTCTTCAAGGGCAGCTGATGCTCCAAGGCGGGATTTTAATGGCGGTTAAAGGTAGAATAATGTGACGCGGACGGGCCGCTGGGTGAAAGATCCCACACCGGACATGGAAGGGAAGAGAGCTCGAGCATGTGATGACTTCGTCGAAGGGGTTTGTATATTC